CGCATATCTCTCACCCTCTCTCTCCTCCCGTGTTTCTTGAAACACCTTACCCTCTCGTAACCTCTCACCTCCATGAAGCCTCTCTCTAGAAGTTTGGGAGGATGGGCCGTTGTGGCCAAAACTCCGACCATATTCTCATCGAAAATGTTAATTTCCGGATCGATCTTACCCTAACCCTAGTCAGGGATTTCAGCGATGGATTCCTAGCTGGAGACTCATTCTCAGGTGACCGGTGTTGAATGGTGATAAAAAAAATCACATGATATATGTTTTTGTCTTTTATCATTTGTTTGGGGCCTTTTTTATCACTGTAATTAGGTGGCTTGTATAAAAGCAAAAAACAAAAGGGTTTTTTATGACACATGATTCTTCTTGTTCTTGAACTCCTCTCTCTCTCTAGAAAAGGGGCTAGGGCTTCCAGGATTGTGTTGACAAAGGGAAGGGGGCGCAGAAGAATCTTCTTGTTCTATTTTTAGGAGAAGTGGTATGAGCGTGTGTTGCTCATGTTCTTGGGTTATTCAAAAGCAGGGTAAATCGTGTTCTTTTGGATGATCACAAGGAAGGTATTTTTTGTGATGTTTTTTCATCAATTTTCTTTTTTTAAGATAACATTGTATCCCCTTGTAAATTTCTCTTTTGATAGTGGAATACTTGCCGGCTTGCCTGTGGACATAGCCCTATGGGGTGAACCACGTTAAATTTGTGTTGTAGTTTGTCTCTCTAATTTTTTCTCATGACTATATTTTTCATCTCTAATTTATTTTCTTAAATTGTTGCACACGATCCTTAAGCTTATTATTGGATCATCGATTTTACATACTTGGCATTAAGTGTGTGATATTTGATGATTGGTTAAATTAGGGTTTCAGGTATTCGGATCTTCAACAAGTGGTATCAGAGCATTAGGTTTTGTACAATATACTTTGGAAAATGGCGAGTAATCGGTTTGAGGTGGAGAAATTAGATGGACAAAATGATTTTGAGATTTGAAAAATTCAAGTTCATGATCTTTTGGTCCAATAAGGGTTATACAAAACATTACTCGAAAAGAAAAAAAACCGGAGTTTATGAGTAATGAGGATTGGGAGGAAATGGACCTTAAGGCTATGGCTACAATTTGATTGTGCTTAACAAATAAGCTTTTATTCAATATAGTAGGAGAGAAGACGACAAAGCGCTTGTGGGAGAAATTGAAAAGTGTTTATCAAAACAAGTCTCATACGAATCATATTCTATTAAAGAAAAAATTATTTAGTTTAAGGATGAAAGAAGGGACAAAAGTTTCTGATCATTTGAATACTTTCAATAACATTATTTGCGAGCTTGATAGTGTTGGTGAAAAAATAATAGATGAGGACAATTGAGTAAGTTTGTTATGTACTTTACCGGAATCTGATGATAATTTAGTGACAACATTAAGTTGCACTAAAGAATATTCACTTGACTTAAGTACGGTGACTAGTGCTTTGCTTGCCCACGAACTCCGAAAAAAGGCATATATTGGAGAACCGGAATTGAAAGTGCACTTTTCAAGTGGTCGTTCAAGTGAGAGAGGTAATTCCTCTCGAAATTTTTATAGATCTAAGTCGAAAGGTCGATCTAAGTCTAAAGGTCGAGAAAGAAGTTTGTTTTGTTGGGGATGGAAACTAATGAGTCCAAAAATGAGGGGAATCAAGGGGAGGAATCTGCATCTAATTTTATTGAAGAATAGGTTTATGTTATGGGTAGCAATCCCAAATTCCATCAAAATTGAATTTTGGATAGTGGTGCTACACATCATATGTGTCCACACAAGTCATGGTTTAGTTCATATGAACCATGTGATGGTGGTTCCGTGTTGATGGGAAATAATCAAGTAGTAGAATAGTTGGGATTGGTATGGTGAAATTAAGGATGTATGATGGAAGTATCCGTACACTTGAGCATATTCGACATATATCGGACTTGAAGAAAAGTTTAATTTCTCTTTCTTTATTGGATTCCCATAGCTATAAATTCATCAAACAATGGGGAGTTCTCAAAGTATCTAAGGGTGCTCTTGTTGTGATCAAGGGTATTAGAGTTGGGAACTTGTATAAGCTATTGGGAAGCTCCGTTGTTGATGATGCGGTAAATTTGGTAGTAGAGAGTAATGATCTTCCACTATGCTTATGGCATATGAGGTTGGGCCACTTGAGTGAAAAGGATACGGAGATTTTGATGAAGAGGAAGCTAATTCCCACCACAAAATTTGGGGAATCCGAATTTTATGAGCATTATGTCTATGGGAACAACATAGACGAATTTTCAAAGTCGGAAGCCATACAAGTAAGAGAATACTTGATTATGTTCACTCGGATTTATGGGGGCCCTCACCTATAATGTCATATAATTGTATATTATATTTTATTTCTTTTATAGATGACTTCTCAAGGAAGGTATGGGTGGCCACTCTTAAATCAAAGAGTGATGCATTTTTGGCCTTTAAGCATTTTAAGACCGAAGTTGAGAAGAGTACGAGGCGCAACATCAAACACTTCACACCGAAAATGGGAAGGAGTACAATTCCAATGAGTTTAAAAATTTTTGTAAAGATGAAGGAATCAAGAGACAGTTCATCACAGTTTACACTCCCCAACAAAATGGTGTTCCAGAAAGGATGAATCATATATTAATGGAGCAAGCAAGAAGCATGTTGAGCAATGCCGGATTAGAACAAGAGCTATGGGCCGAAGCCGTAGCTTTGGGGGAGAAAACACTACAAAAGGTATGGTTCGGAACTCCTTGTGATTATTTTGATTTAAAGATTTTTTGTTGTGATGCTTATGTTTTAATTCCTAGTTGTCAAATAAATAAGCTTGAGCAAAAATCAAAGAAATACATTTTTGTTGTATATAGGAAAGGTGTGAAATGCTACCGGTTATGGGATCCAAGTGCTCAAAAGATAATTACAAGCCGAGATGTGGATTTTGATGAGTCATCCGTGTTGACAAGAGATATAGAAAATGAGATTAAAAAAATGAACGAATCTCATAATGACACTCAAGAAATTGATTTTCAACCTTATGTCACATCATCTAGTGACTGCTATATGCTGGAAGAAGCACCCATGAATAAGTCATTGATGAAGAAGAGCAAGTTGGTTAACCAAGTGATTCCCATGAAGAATTTGCACCATCCATGACAAGAAGGTCTACAAGAGTAATTCGTCCACCCGAATGGTTTAGGGACTATGTAGATCCTGAAGTACTAAATGCTTTGGTTATTAAGAATGAAGAACCAAGCACTTACCAAGAAGCTATGGAATGGAATGATTCCATATCTTGGAAAAAGGCCATGGAAGATGAAATGTGAACTCAAGACTTTGGGATTTTGTAGAGTTGCCAAATGGTAGAAAAGTGGTTGGTTGCATGTGGGTGTTCAAAATCAATAAAGGGTTTGATGGAAGTTTAGAAAGGTATAGGGCAAAGCTAGTTGCAAATGAGTTTGCACAAAAGGAAGGTGTCGACTTTTTTGAAATATTTGTCCCAGTTGTCAAGTTAGACTCCATAAGGTTGGTGTTTGGGCTTGTTGCATTGCATGATTTGGAACTTGAACAAATGGATGTAAAAACGACATTTTTGCATGGTAAACTTGAAGAATAAGTGTACATACAACAACCGGAAGGATTTTTTAAAAAAAGAAAAGAAATGTGAGTGTGCAAGTTGAAGAAATCCATATATGGACTCAAGCAAGCATCAAGGCAATAGTACAAGACTTTTGACATGTTCATGATTGGTGTTGGATACCATAGGAGTGATTATGACCATTGTGTTTACATAAGGATTTTTTCTGATGGTTCTTATTTAATCTTAGTCTTGTATGTTGATGATATGCTTTTGACATGCAAGGATAAAACTAGGATTGATGAGCTCAATGCATCTTTGAGCAAGAGTTTTGAAATGAAAGATCTCGGGCAGGCAAAATAAATACTTGGAATTGAAATCCAAAAAGATCGACGGAGTAAGACTTTATCACTTTCACAAAAGAGTTTTGTGGAAAGATGCTTGAAAAGTTTGGCATGAACAAGGCAAAGCCGGTGAAAACTCCATTAGCTCCTCATTTTAAGTTGTCTTCCAAGCAAAGTCTGAAGAACGTAGATGAAAAAGAGAATATGGCTAAGGTGTCATATACAAGTGTTGTGGGAAGCCTAAAGTTTGTCATGGTGTGTACTAGACTAGACATAGCATATTTGGTTGGTGTCTTGAGTCGCTTTTTGGCAAATCCCGAAAAAGGTCATTAGGAATGTGCAAAATGTGTGCTTTGTTATTTGAGAGGTACGAGTGATTATGTCATGGCATTTAGCAAAGGCTTGGGGCAGATTTAAGGCTATGTTGATGCAAATTAGACCGCTGATCTTGATAGAGGAATATCAACTACCGGCTATGTTTTCAAGTTTGGAAATGGGCCGATAAGTTAGATGTCTAAGCTTCAATCAGCGGTGGCATTGTTCACCATCGAGGTGGAATACATGGCGGCAACCGAAGTAAGAAAAGAAGCGGTTTGGCTTCAAGTCCTTATAGGAGAATTGGGTATCAATTTTAAGCCCATGGAAATACTTTGTGATAATATGAGTGTCATTAATTTGGTTAAGATTCTCGTTTATCACAAGATGACGAAGCACATACTAGTTCGATACCATTATGTTCGACAAGTTGTTGAAGATGGTTTGGTTCGTTTGGTGAAAGTTGGAACCAAGGAAAATGTGGCGGATGTGCTCACGAAGACGGTTCCAATAGAGAAGTTGGAATGGAGCCTAACTTCTCTAGGCTTCACAAATAAGTAAAAAGGGAATTATCAGCAAGGCAAATAGGTGATTTACTATCAAAGTAGAAATTGTTGAATAGTGATAGAAAAATCACATGATAGATGCTTTTGTCTTTTATCATTTGTTTGGGGGCTTTTTGGTCACTGTAATTAAGTGGCTTGTGTAAAAGCCAAAAACAAAAGGGTTTTCTATGACACACGATTCTTCTTGTTCTTGAACTCCTCTCTCTCTAGAAAAGGGGCTAGGGCTTCTTGGGTTGTGTTGAAAAAGATGCGGTGAAGAAGAATGTTTTTGTCTTATTTTTTGGAGGGATGGTATGAGCGTGTGTTGCTTATATTCTTGGATTATCCGAAGTGAGGCAGTGCATATCGTGTTCTTTTGGATGATCATAAAAAAGGTATTTTTTGTGATGGTTTTTCATCAATTTTCTCCTTTTAAGGTAACATTGTATCTCCTTGTAAATTTCTCTTTTGATAGTGAAATACTTGCCGGCTTGCCCGTGGACGTAGCCCTACGGGGTGAACCACATTAAATTGGTGTTATGGTTTGTCTTTCTAATTTTCTCTCATGACTATGTTTTTCATTTCTAATTTATTTTCTTAAATTGTTGCGCATGATCCTTGAGCTTATTATTGGATCATCGATTTTATATACTTGATATTGAGGGTGTGATATTCGATAATCGATTAAATTGAGGTTTTGGGTATTCGGATCTTCAACAATATGGAAGCCAAACACCCTGATTCTCCATCCATCAATGGCTCCACCTCTGGTTTCACGACCGGATTCAGGCCGGCGTCAATTGTTGTTGGGGAAAGAGAGCTCTTCGGCTTCAAGATTTGCAGAGACAGCGTGAGGAACCATGGCCTCTTGCGCTGCTGTTTGCAGTTGTTGTACTTGCGGCCTCGTCAATCTCTTGGTTTTAGCCATGGTCAAATTACCAGCAAGTCTATGCAAGAGAGCGTTGAGGAGAAAGAAGCGAGAGAAAAAGGGCAAGAAGGATGTGCTTATACCTAATCGATCGGAGTTGCTGGTTCACCCTATAAGACCAGCCCCAACTGGGCCAGAAAATTGGCCGGAAATTGCCGAAAATTGGCCGGAAAAGTCATCGAAAAAGCAGGTGGAGGAGATGGTGGGAGAAGATGCACACTGGTTTTTGGAGGAGTATACAGTGAAACATTGCTTTCTCTCTCTAAATATGCAGTATCCGTTGCATTTCTCTCTCTCTAAATACACCGCAATCGCCGTCCTTTTTTTTTCATGTAAGAACTATAAACATTCTTTTTGTAAGAAAAAAAGTCCGGAGGATTGCTTTTAGTAAAGGCATATCTTTTTAGATTTATTTGGCTTAAAAAATACATTTAAATTAGCTCAATGGGTTAGAAGAAATAATATCTACAATTTTTATGTCCTAAAATATCTTTTAAAACTTCAAGTCTATTGTGAAATGAAACCTTAAAAACAGAATATATAAAGATATTTTTTCAAAAATCTATAACATTTTTAGAAAAACACTTTCATACTTCTGAAAATCAACAAAATCCAAAAGTGTGTTGGAATAAGCAGTCTCCATGTCATGTAACTTACCAGTGTAACACCAGAAACTAGGAAACAGTCACCTTATTTCGCAGAAATTGTGGATTAGTAGAAAGATTGGATTGAATTACTCGAAATCCTGCCAACAGTAAAAGAAAATCTTAGAAATTGAAAACAGTTCATAGAAGTTCATTTGTAGGTTCAAGCTTTGACTTACCAGAGTCATGATTCTTAATCTGAAACCAACTCTGGCAAATCTGATTAAGCAACCCACTCGAATCTCCCTTAATAAAATACAAGATTTTTAGGACAAGTGGCCTAAGGTCCGAGTGACTTCGGTAACTTTGAGCACGAGCCAGTGATTTTCTAGTTATTGTTTTTATTGTACAAGAGGCATTTTAAAAAATTTGTTCTCTTTCTTCACTCTCTCATTGGTTAGAGTGCTCCTTATAAAGAAAAAGAGCCGGGGCTTAAATGGTTAGTGCTTGATCATATGTAATGCTACGTCCTAGGTTCAATTCTTACAAAAGATAGGGGGCCTTTGAAATAAGGATACATGTGATCTAGCCGGAATATAATAATTTTTTGTTAAAAATAATTTGTTTTTCTTAAGTCTAGATCATTTACAAGTAGTCATTTTACAATATAATAACTTTAAATAAAATAATACAATAGGATCTCAAAAACTTGAAGCTATTCAAAACTACACTTTTCATTAACAAAGAAAATATACAACATATACTTAGAAATAAAAGATATAATAAATAAATATGGAACAAATGAAAGAAAGTGTCGAAAATTACCTCAACTAGGCTCAGTACATCCTATGTCGAGTCTCCTCCTTTTAATGGTGCTCGAGATCTTTGATCGATTTCTTGATTTCTCCTTATGGCAAAACCCAAACAATGCTCATGGATTTCAATCTAGAACCACTCACCTAAGGCTTCAATGCTTAGGTATAATTCAAGCCCTTTGGCTTGATCTTTTTGAGAGATAGAAATAAAAAAAGGAATGAGAAAACTATTAGCTCGGGATGATTTTTTTTCTGCCCACAAAATCACATAACCAAATCCTAGCTTGATTTAGAACCCATGAGAGATATTCAATCTTAACCTAACGTAGCTTGGGTCTGCCTCCTTTAGGATAGTTTGTGAGATAGAGAAAGGTAGGCTAAGGTGGGGCTTCACCCCATAGGCTTCTTGAAAAAAGAGAGTAACCTATGTTGGCCGTGACCCCTTAGAGAGATTAGAGAGAGATTCTATTTTAGAGAGAGAAGAGAGAGTAAGTAAGAGGTGTAGAACAAGAGAGGAGAATGATCTTTTTTATAGATTTATCATGCATTAAGGTTTGTCATAAAATCGTAGGAGCAAATATTGACCGTCGATCTAAAGAAACTTGTAGGATGGGACATTTGAATCATCCATTCTCTAGATCCACTATCAAGTTACTAAGAAAGGTGCTATAATCCCCTTCCTAAACTTATTCCCCATCAAATACGTTACATAAAGAAAATATTTCTTTACTTTCTCTAATAGTCAATATCCATTCATTTTTTCTCAATCAAACCTTTTTTATTCTCAAGATTTTCTAAAACCGCATATGTCATTCTTTTATTGCAAGTAGGCTTCTCTCCAGAAAAGAAAAGACAACCATGAGATGCTTCTAACAATATTAACAATATTTAGTAAGAAAAAGCAATCCCCTATGGTTGGGGCATGCCACCCTTTGGTGGCTACTCATGAGCCCCATCCAATTGTTCCATGTGATTTAAATTGGCCTCCAATAATTATGGAGGGTCCCACATATTTTGGAAACAATAAAAATTGATTTTTATATTTTTTGAAATCTCTTAATTTATTTAAAGGGTGTGGTTTCCATAATGTTGCAATCTTAAACAATTGCGCACCTCCAAATTTTATTATAGCACATAATTTTGATGTAAAATTATTCTTAAGATTATCTCAAAATATATTTTAATATCTAATTATAAAATTTTAAACTTAAAAAATGATTAAAATCAAGTAAATCTATAAACATATGAAAATTTTGAAAATGAACAGTCTAAATAATGTGTTGTAAGATGTATCATTTATGAGACTCAAAATCATTTCTTTATACATAGTCACATATCTCGACATCAAGTTGATCAATTAGAGGGTTTTTCAATATTAAAATAACTTTTTCGATGGATGTTTGATATGCATCCGGTGTTCTACATTTTAAGGTTGCAACCTTATATAAACTTTTCCTTTATTTAAAACTTTAGAAATGAATTTATCTTGATTTATAAATCCAAATGACTAAACTAAAATATTAGAAGATTCGTTAAAATTCAAATAATCGTTTTAAAAATCAAATACTATAAATTAATTAAATTAAAATAATTTTAATAGGAATCAGATTCGAATAGGTCTAGGATTTAATCAACGCATAGGAGCACTTCACTTTCAACTGTGGACCACGATCTACACTAGCTTTCTCAAACTGACCCGATGGTTCCCATAACCCACAGCTACTATAGGGGCTCAGGATTGAACCGTCAAAATCAATCAATGGGCTAGGGGACATAATCCCAATATATGAATTGCAGATTCTCCCCTAGAGACAAACCATGATCCGCCAGACCATAATACAACCACGACTCTATGGTGTATAGGGATAATCTCTCGCACATGTACACACTTCACCCTCAATAGTGGATTATTATCTCAATATGGTTATCTATATACATGTCGTTTGATGATACAACGATAAAGTTTTAGTCATGTCTCTATAGACTATTCATCACACAAGAGTCACACAGTCATTCGGCTCTCATCCGGGCTACTCCGACCTCATCAAGGGCTAACCCACTAAACTCTCCTTAGTTTCATCTCTATGCCTAGGTTCCTTGGGTTTTCAATCTTGGCTGAGCTAGCACATGAAGCCTAATGTGAGTATTGACAAATTGCATTTGCTTAGTATGATCCACAAAAGGATCACACTCCCATTGAGTTTACGATTCATTATATATAATGCCCATGTAAGCTCTCATAATACCACATCAACCCATCAGCCATGTCCCCACTGACTCACCCAAAAACAAAAAAACATGGATGAGATTGTTTCATATCATTAAGCATTCGTCAGGCGATCCAACATTGGTTATTCAAAGCATTGTTTAATTACTCGAGCGAGCCAGTTCGGACTCACTCGAGTAACTCGGCAGGCCCTAGTATCCCCAAGTTGGTTGTCCAACTCGAGGATCTTAAAAAAAAAAATTCAAAAAAATCATAAAAATTTCATAAAAAAATAAAACTATTGATTATAAAGTTTTTATGTCTTCTATTATCTTGGCAAAGATTGTAAAGTGTTTTGGTCATGAATACTTGATTTTACCTTTTCCCTTCTTTTTGGATTATTACAACCATCCGATATGAAATTTGATAACTTGGATGTGTCACAAAGTTCGAGAAAATTTATTTTGAAGTTCGAACTCGATCAATGAAACAATTGCAGCCACCCAATTTCACATTCAACAGTCAGGATTAATGTGACCACTTTGTACCAAAAGTAAATGGTACCACTCATACTTTCCCTTTCTAAAATACACCAAAGCACAAATTGATTTTTTTTCAAAATTCTTTTTTTTGCTACTTTTTAACCTCATTTTAAGATATTTTCCATTTTTTAAAATTTTTTTTTTTTTCATATTTTTGTGCTTTTCAACACTTTTTGGTTTTCGCCAGCACTCACCCCAACTCAAACCGAGTTAGTCGGACACAATCCATGTACTCGGCTCGGTCCTAGACCGAGAGGCCAGCACAATTCGCTCTTTCCAACACGACTCAGAGGAAATGCGTTGATAGTATACCAAAGGCCTTGTGATTGGGACCTTGATTATGCTACTACTTTCTCCTCAAAATTTCATAAAATGACCAATTTCTAGATCGGTTGTTTCACATTTAAACCATGTAATTACCCAAAAAATTAAAAAATACTCAAAATGTTTCGAACTTTTTAATCCAACCTCTTTGCGTGTTTTCCACTACTCAAAACCAAAAACTTTTGGCAATCTCGAAGTGTAGCTTATTTGATTGCCAAAACCCCATGTTACCATATCTCGAAGTGTGCACCCATGCCAGCATTCATTATACAATCTCATTAGTTTCTATTACTTTGTAATCTTTTCAACTCCACATGCTCCCTATTTTCAGTATAGGGAAATTGCCCCAACCTTTGCAAACTCTTCATTATTTTCATACATGAAAAAGCAACGATGAAATTTATTTGGTAAAATCCCCTCTTCCATGGTGAAAGTTCGTATGGATATTAAATTAGGATTATATACTATCACACCAATTTTATTTTGTTTACAGAAATCACGGGTATCCTTAGCCATGGGATGCGAAATTTGACAGCTCAAAGTGAGTCACATAGTTGAAGAAATTTTATTTTGGTCCTTATGGCTAGTCAATGAATCGTGCCCAGCCACCCACTTTCACATCCAATAGCATATGATGATTATATAAAAAACCACCAACTATTTCAAAAAACGGGTAAGAGTATAAATGGTCTTATTGTATTCATTTCCTGTTTAATTAGTTAGTTGTAAAGTTGAAACCGATAAAGCACTTCAAATAATAGAGATTCGTATGTTTGCGCCCATTAATTCATTTAGCCATGAAAGTTTGTTTTTCTTTTCTTGTTAAGTTTGCAAAGTACAACTGTTGAGTTCTTTTGTGTTTTCTTAGGTAATTGGTCGCAAATTTCACTCAAAACTTCAGGTATGCACCTGCCACCATACGTGACGAGTTTGGTGTATTCAAAACCGGTTGGACCAGATATTAGATAAATGAAAATATTTAAAAATATAAAATATATTAAAGAAAGTTGTTCAAGCTTATTTTACTAGTCTTACAAGTCAAAACCAGCCAATCTGACATCCAAAACTAATTAAACATTGATTTTGACATATTTTTTATCAAATTCAATTTTTACTTTGGCCCAAAAGACCGAAGCATGTACAGTTCAACTGTAGCATTATTTCCATACACTTATCAATGTAGTACAGGTGTATCTATGCACGTGAGAGAGATGTACCTCCCAATCTTTGTTTTAATATAGTGTTTGTGGTTCTTAAAGTCAACTTCCCAAATGCATTCTTTATATGTTATTCAACAGTCTCCTTCCATGCATGTTGCAAATAAATTAAAACTAATAAACCAATGAAATCATGATAGAATATTGGGTTTTTGTGTCATTCGCAAAACCTACTTTTGTAAAATGCGTACTAATTTAAACAAGTCTCACTTTGATAATACTATACTTACACTAACTATAAAATATCCTTACAGTTGTCACCCATCCAGGCTAATCTTTTGGGTTTTATTCAACAGTTAATGCATTGACTTGGGTATGATGCAGTTCACTTCAAGTAAACCCAAATAAAGGTAAAGTAGCCTAAAAAATTGCCCACCCTTGGTGGAGAAATTATCACAATACCCCTATAACCTTCAAGTCTTAAATGGCCACCTTTCCAATGGACTAACACAAATATGACACTGATATACTCTCCCCTCAAAAGGATTTCATAGATCACAGATCGTTTATAACAACCCCGAAACTCCTCCCCACCATCTGCTTCAAGTAGTCATAGGACTAGTTATGAAACTATGAGAGAGACGATTTCCTTGCTTCTACTCTTCCTTCTCCTTTCATCTCCTCTTTCCTCTTCCTCCACTCTTGAGTTCAGAGACTCTCTCTCTGATCTCTCTCAACAGAGCACCCAACATTGCTCAAATTTGAAATCCACAGACAAGTTCCTTTGCGAGCTCACTGGTGCAATAGATGCTCAAGGCCCACGCTCACCCAGTGCTCCCCCACTGCTAAATTCCACTTGCAAATTCAAAGAAGATTGTGTCTATAGCACCTACTACCCCTATGCCACTCCCCCTTCTCCAGAGCTCGAGACCATTCTCGATAAGTATGTAGCCATGCGTGAACGATGTCTAGCCAAGGACTCTGATACCCTATTGGACACCTTCCATTCATCTGAGCGCCCAAATTGCCAATATGTTATATGGAGGCAAACCAACGCAGGCTTTGGTAATCGAATCATATCCTTGATCTCCACCTTCCTGTATTCAATTTTTTCAGCTCGTGTCCTTCTTGTTGATTACCCAAACTGGAACGATCTCTTCTGTGAGCCCTTTGCAAGGTCCAGCCTTAGAGTCCCTCAGGGCTATCCTTTAGACTATAGCCTCGGTGCATCATACTTGCAATATCTCGATGCCAAGTGTGGATCACCAAGGGGTAATGCTGGTAGCAGTCCATGCAACCAGACAATTGTTCATCTCATATTAGACCATGCGTCTCCTATTCGTGAGTACGACTCTGTACTGTGCCCGTTGGGCTATTCAAGACTAAGGAACATTCCCTTTGTGATGATTAGGGATAGTAACCAATACTTTGTCCCAGGTTATTATGCAAACCCTGTGCTAAGACCATTGATGGACTTGCTATTCCCTGAGAGAAACATATTTCATGTGCTCTCAAGGTTCCTGCTCTTCCCTAGTGATGCAATGTGGGGTTCTATTAGGCTCTATCTTGATGTCCATGCTAGCCGGCGTGTGGGTCTCCAAATTAGGGAGTTCAAAATAGGTAAGTACACAACAGAATATGATGACAACATAGTTAGATGCTTAAGGGAAAGGGGTGGCCTTCTACCTAAAAGATTTAGGAAGAGAGTATGTGAAGATGAGTACTTGGCCATCCATGTCGCCACTCTAGAGAAAGGTCACGTGGGAAGAATGAACGAAACAATGAAGATCATTGAGGAAGAGACTGGGAAGGAGGTCAGGGTGAAGTGGCAAGAAGTCGAGAGTCGAGAGTTGCATGATCTTACGCAACAGAAAGAAGCCCTTATAGACATGTGGGTGCTAAGTACAAGTCATGTGTTGATAACAAGCATGGAGTCCACTTTTGGTTATGTGGCCAATGGTTTGAGTGGGGTGCCCTCATATTTCATAGACAAGGAGGAGAGTGAGAGTTGTAAGGTGAACCATGGTGTAGACCTATGTTTCCATCAGGCACCAAAGATGCTAGTTTGCAGCGATGATGAGCCTGTGAGATATAGAGCATATGATCTTTCTGTCAATTCTTCATGGATACGGCCATGTGTGGATCGCCTAGTTTTTGGATGGAGTTTAGCTGGAGAAGTTTCGTATCCATTGTAGCACTTTTCTGTCAAAAATTCTGATGCTTTAAGGTGCCTCCTGTTGGACCTAATCTAGAGACTGGCAAAGATCCCTCACAATTCGTTTATGAGATTATATTCTGAGTTTGCACTGATAAATATGCAAATAAGTGACTGCCTAACTACAAATGTCGAGTATTGGCGTGATATGATGGGGCCCGTGGTCTTAATCAACCTGGCCTATCCAGCTTGGAATTCACTAGCCGAAGTCATACCGGATCGGGAGGCTAGTGATTTTAGGTCAAAGCCTCCTAGTATTCCAGTGTTTTCACCTTTTTCTGTTATCTATAGCTCAGATCGACTATGGCTTAATAAAGTCATATCAGGGGGCTCGGAATCAACCCCCTACCGAGTCAGAGCCTGATTCTAATTTTTGAGACACTAGCTTCAATATGTAAGATTTTATTGCATTTCTCTCCTGTACTACGTATATTTCCTTTTGCTGGATGTGTGTTACTCCAATCCACCTGTTTTCATGATAAAAAAATACTGGTTTATCCTTATTTTCCTTTTATGGTTTTAGTGCATTATTACAAAAAATAAAGTACTATAAGATAGTTCTAGGAATTGCATACTTTTCGTACATGTAGCTTATAAAAACATACTACATGTCACCTCAACCCTCCCTTGTCTATAGGGGAGGGCAGAGACGAATAGTTCCTCCACACAAAGTGATTATTGCACGACTTCAAGACTGGTATCAACCATCAATTGTTGACAAAGGATGGTTGAAGAGACATATAACTTAGTATTTGTAAACTACTAGTACCATAATATATAGGGAAAATATCTCCTTATCCTCTATTTTTAACCTCCATGTCTCATGAGATCCAAGAATTGAAAATATTACTTGTAAGCAAAATGTCTCCATCTTTTCTATCTTACAACCCCCTGGACCCCTTTGGTCATAAATTTTTGACCCAAACAAACACTAAATGACACCCTATTCAAACTCCATCTCTCACTCTCTCTAAAACTCCATCTCTCTCTCTTCGCTTCTCAGTGAGTTTACCCGCCAAGGGGTTTAGCTTGAGCTCGAACACGAGCACACCTTAGTTGTGAGAGAGATGGATTTTTAGAGAAAAAGAGATGGAGTTGGGTTTTAGAGAAAGATGGAGTTTTAGAGAGAGATGGAGTTTGAGTTTTAGAGAGAGATAGAGTTTTGAGAGAGAGAGAGAGATGATGATGTGAGAGAGAGATAAGGAGTTTGGGTTTTAGAGAGAGATGGAGTTTTAGAGAGAGAGAGAGAGTCATTTCATAAGTTGTTGAGGTCAATAATACATGGTCAAATGGGTTTAGGGGGTTAGAAGATAGAAAAGATGGCGTCCTTTTGCTTACAAGTAATATTTTCAATTCTTGGGTCTGATGAGATATAAAAGTTAAAAATAAGGGATAATAGGATTTTTCCCTAATATATTTTTCCCGATTGTGATAATTAAATGTCTTAATTCACTTACATTCTTTTCTTATATTTTTTAATGTTAATTTGAAGCTGGTAGAAATGGAACTCTAGATGTCAAGGGCATCTACAAGCCTGACCACCTATGCCTAGTTCCCATTCCTTAATTTATCGCCTGAATTATGATTTAATCTTCCAGCTCCCTTGTTATAAAGTGGTACCATTTCACAAATTGTATACCAAAATTTTGACAAATCTTCCTTTTTCCTCATTGATTTCCTTCTAGGGAAATTTAAATTTGGAACAAATTTCTTCCTAGATCCAAAAATACTAATTTTAGGTTAAAATGAAACAATGAAATCTGAAAAAATGAAAACTTTTACGCTGATAAAAGTGAAAGCATATGGTGCACTTTCAATGAAGCATAAACATGCATGAGTGCATGGACATACATAAATAAAAGACATACATACACATTTGTAATCCCGCTTATAAGCAGTGCTCATAAGCACACCCTTACAATAGGTAACAACATAATGTATCAAAGGACTCAACAATATCTTACAAGATCTGCATCCTAGCTTATCCATCCAAAAATGAAAGGTAAAAGATAAGGGAATCTGTAGAGGAAAGTATGAAAGAAAAGCTTAGAGCTGAAAAGATTAGTAAAAGGTCACAATTTAACACATCAAAAGATATATTACCTTCACCTCTCCAAAAAGTTCCTATATTCAGGCAAAGTAGAGATGTGTAACTGGAATTTTATGTGATTGCCACATACCAATGAGGCTGAAGGGAAAGTTTATAGGACAGCAGTGAGATCAGCTTTGCTCTATGGGGCGGAATCTTGGGCAGACAAAAAACAATATACTCATAGAATAATTATAGCAGAGATGAGGATGTTAAGATGGATGAGTGGCAAGACAAGAAGGAATAGAATTCGAAATGAATCTATTCGAGATAATTTAGGCCTGACACCAATAGGAGATAAAATGAAAGAGAGTAGACATAGGTTGGTTGGTCATGTGTGGTAACAACCAAATACAACACCTGTTAGGAGGGACGAGTTACTTCAGGTGGAAAGACTGAAAAGAGCAAGGGGTAGGCCCAAAAGGACGTGATTGAAAATCGTCCAAAAAGATATGGTGACTTATGACTTCACTGAGGAGATGACCTTTAATAGAGCAGAATGGAGAACCAGGATTCATGCAGCCAAACCAAATTAATTGGGAAAAGGTTAAAATGATGATGACGATGATTCAAGATATTAAACTTGTATTTTATTCTTATTTATGATTGATTTAGAATACTTTTCCTTCTTTTATATGCTCAATTCAGTATGATTATTCAACAACAGATGAATGTACTCCAATAATCAAATAGAAAAGTATACAAAGAGATCATTTACTTTAATACAAAGAAGTCACAATCACTCTTGTCCATCAGATTTTAAATCGGGTGGTTGTGAGTATGTCATTGACTAGACTTAGTTCAAAAAAGAATTTCTTGAAATTTGTGGCACACCCCAAGCTATCCAATTTGACGTTTAATGGCTACCAGCAATTGTGACCTTGTAATACAAATAGATAGTCTCTTAGTATACAATTGCTAAACATATTGTACCATCATTTATCGAAGTCCAAGTGTCGAATAATTTTACATAAATGGTCTTGTCTATGAAAGAAGAAAATAACATTATGTTCCAAGCCATTGAATGTAATGCAATAAACAAATTTCACTATCATAAAAAGAATCCAAGTGTTAAAAGAATACTTTAACAAAATGGTCCTCTGTGAAGATTAAAATAAATAATATGTTCCAACGCCATCTCTCTCTCTCTCTCTCTCTCTCTCTCTCTCTCTCTCTCTCTCTCCAATCACACACAGCATGCATAGGATTCTTACTTTACACTGTCCCCAAGATGAGGTTAGCATGGTCTTGCAACACCTTCCATGCTGTGTTGACATGCCTCTCCTCTGTTAGTGGCGCTCCCACTACAAAACGCAGTACAAATCTACCCGATAGCACCTGATTCATTGCATGAAGAACCAATCGAAACAAATAATTTTCAAAACCATATAACCAATAGCTACAATCACAGGAAACGAGTCATTTATTGCTTAACTAAGAGAAACTAAGGAAGCAAACCATTTTAAGTATGCCAATTAAACTCTGTACACAAATCAAAATGATAAATCTGTTATTAGTTTGGCCTAAATAAGTAACTACAACAAATACTAAAACAAATAGAACTTATTTACATAAAAGAAACATCATTGATCGCATTTCTTTTCTTGAGTACCTAATTGAGAAACTCGAATCGTGCCAATTTTACACATCGAACTGCAAAGGAATCTCACCGTATGGGTTAAAAACATAGCACCACTGTTATTCACAGCCTCCAATAGCTTTAAATTTAGTTTTGAGGCATCATCTTGTCCATTAGGCATAGGTTTAAGGGCAAAGCATACAAGTGCAAAAACCCTAGGCACAATAATCTGCACAATTCAGAAAAACAATCCACCAAATGATGAACTTAGTCAAGACATTGTTGAAAAATGTAAAAAAGACGCAGCAATCCATCCATTTAACAAGCATATAGAACATGTGTATGAAGATGATTTTACCATGCAAGCATCAGCTGAATATCCTTCCACTTGTGTAATAAATTACGACAGAAAATGTAAATTACTATAGAAAACTCACAATACAAACAATTAAACATATCTAACTCCATACCTCAAACCTTGTATCAGTGGCAATAAGTTCCTCAAAATGTTTAGCCAAATTGATATGAGTTCTTATGTGGTTTTGCAAGTTTGCAACTCCATACATACGCAAGACCATCCATAGCTTCAAAGATCTGTATTTAGCAATCCCAGTTATTTTGGAAACAGCAATAAACATGGATCTTGAATTTCAAGAAAGATTGTTAGTTATTTTACCTTTTTTTTGGCTGTGGAGAAAACCAAAAAGAATGTAACATAATTCACATATGTTAATAACGAATTTTAAATTAAACATTCACATAAAGGAAATTTCAGATCAGGAACTCTTTTCATAAAAGATGAATGGATAATGGTCCACATGAGATCTCAAAGACGATAAGAGGTTATTAAAAAGAATGAAATTAGTTGGTAGGAAAAGGAAACACTTTAGATTATAAAACACTAAAAGGCATGCAATGGAGAGCTCTGTCATTTTATATCAAACAACGTAAGCACATAAAGTCGCATGTTGAAGGTAAAATAGTCCATCTGGTACCACATCAATCTTAGCCATTTAGTCAGTACAGTAGCTAAAGGGTGATTTAGCGATTCAAGGGTTTAGTCAAGAATGAGGAGGCCCTTATATGGAATCATTCAGAAAGCAATAGCCATTAATTATCGACAGTCAAGGGCAAACTGTGGAATAGATGAATAATTTTTCAGAAGGGATATTTCAAGGCTAAGAACATGTCTCACAGTTGGACACATTCAGGATAGTTATGGTGATAGTAATTCTACTCACTCAACATCAATGCAAAGTCTTGTATAGACATCTCAGATTGGTTTAAGAAATTTTGTTATGTTTTCAAGCGTCGGCCTTTAACAGGGAACATCCAATTACTCCATGACCATTAAACCATCCAACTTTTGAAGCATTGCCCTTGATGTCTGTGTTGATAATTTGTAGTTAGAGGTCACAGATCACTGAGCATTTTCACCAACCTCCAAAGTAGTTGCCGTACTAGGAATTCAGCTATTATTTATTGAAGAGGCAATTTCTTAACAGACTTCTTTTCGTGTACTCTAGTACTCATAATGTACTTTATACCATTTTTCCCCATATCCAGGCACAGATCTAGATGTAGAAAACCTAAATTCATACGCAAACTGCAACATGTAAGTATTTTGTGTATGCTATTAACTGTAAGGTTCTCACTCATAAATTGAGAATTCCAAATCTTGAATATCAATTTGTGTAACCAAAGGATGACAATCCAATGCTAAATCTTTATTAAGAATCAACAATCCCTAAGGAAACCAGTCTTTTATTCTTTTGCAAATCAATGTTTTTAAATATGGGAAACCATAGAAAAGATAATCCTTTTCAAAGTGCACCCAGTTATTCCCTTCAAGATGGTAGATATTATAAGTGCCAAACAATTACAACAGATCATCAATCAATTAAAGAATGAAAAATTAATTACAGTCGATCAATATTTATGGACTAAGTGTGGTAAGGAACGTCTCTAGGAAGTCAAATTTCAGACTATGGTTTCCACCTGCTTATGCCTGTGCAAAGAGCACTCTATAACACGATATATTGAAAGAGTATGTCAAAACTTCATTTGCTTGTAATCCAGGAAAGGGTAAATTCGTAGAGGGAGACTCAATTCATCAGGAATTAAAACATGAACTTATTATAAAGGGTGTATTAAGATATACCAGTTACCTAAACCGTCTTCCAAGAGGGATTTGCCAATCCTTATAATCCACAACCAAATCTTCCTCTGAAGCCTGCAAATATACCCCATAAAATCAAACAAAGAATTATACTCCATAGAACCAAAATTTCCAACATCTGTCCAAAGAATTATACTGCAGATTGCCAATATTTATCTTGGCCTTCTGGGCTGATCATAATTTCAACAGAAGAATAAAAGACTTCTTTCCAGCAAGAATTGGTAAAAGTTCATATATGGAATGTTGCCGCACATGATTATCAAATTGTGTTATAAATAAATTTGTCATACTATTTCAAACGAATTGCTTAATATTCTTGTGTTGACCACAGGGTTTTTTATTAACAAGGCTCAGTCCAAAAATTGATAGTCATTCAGTTGACCATTTTAATATGAAATATATCCTTATTTTCTCTATAATGAACCTTCACGAGATCACAAAAGCCATATGCAAAACTTCTAGAACGTTTTTTTGCAAAATAATTTCACAATTATGGAAATCAAGAAGATCCAAAAGTATGTTTGGAAAAGTAGTCTCCTTGTCATTTGAGTTCCCACTTCTACTGTACTTATAAAAACTACATGAGAAACTTGGAAATGCTAACCTTATTTCTCAGAAACTCTGGATTCGTAGACAAAGATTGGATTAAATTACTTGAATCCTGTCAAGAGTAAAAGAAAATCTCAGAATTGAAACAGCATTATTCATAGAAAAGAACAAAAACTATTTAAGGAAAAGAAAAGGATATGAATAAAGAAAATATAACCTATATGAGACAATGTTTTAAAATGCGGCCGCATTATGCGGGATATGCTCGCATTCGCATCGCGAACTGGCGCATATGCGCTTTTGACAGATGCGGCCGCATATGCACCGCATCATGGCCGCATCCCGTATCGCACCGCATCTGTTTTTGCGGAAAAAAATTTCGATTTTGCCCCTCGGGGAAGGGCAAAATGGTCTTTTTGTAGTTCCAAAGTTTAGGGAAACTATTTGGGGGGTTATTATATCCCCTAAACGAAGATTTCCAGCCACTTTTGTGGCTTTTTTTGCATCCAATCAAAGGAAAAAAAAAATTTGGAGAAAACATTTTTTTCATCCAAATCTTCGATTTGGCTGTTGTTTGATACTTGGATGTTCATTTGATACCTTTGATTGCTGATTTGGAGATGTTAAGGTGAGTTTGTGATAAGAAATTGGGGATTTCAGAGACCGTGAAGAAATTGACCACTACTTCACAGAGCCGGTAACTTTTTATTCCTTGTACAATAATATTTTTATACTTATTTTTGGGGCAATATCTTCTTCCCAATCTTCTAATAACAAGGATCCAGCTTGGAAATATACTAAACTAAAAAATATGAAAGATAGAATTTGTGTGATATGCTTGCTCTGTGGAAATACTTATATGGGTGGTATTTTTGACAAAAAGAGCATTTAGCCGGAATTTCTGGGAATGTAAGAATATGCCCACAAGCTACAGATGATATAAAAAAGGAGATTAAAGAATATTTGGATAGATTGAAAAAAGATAAAGAGAAAAAAGAAAAGAAAAGAAAGGAATTACTTGATGATATGCAAGTATTTGATGACGTTGATGATGATGATGATGATATGTCTGAAGTTGCTATGAGGTAAAGGGGTACTCATACTCCAACCTCAAGAGAGAGGGTTATAAATATTGATGGTAGTGCTGAGAGAAGAACACCTCTCTGTAAGGGGCCAATGGATTCTTTTTTCACCCTAAGCCCCGAAATTGTGGTTCAGGAGAGAAAGAAAAAAACAAAACCAACCACAATTGACAATAAATATAAGAAGAAACAAAGGAAGTCGGTATGTAAGTGGATTGCAAAGCGGATTTACATGGCCGGCATTCCTTTTAATACTATAACTCTAGATAGTTTTGCGTGTATGGTCCAAGCAATTGGGCAATATGGCCCAGGACTTATTCCTCCTTTACTACAGGAGGCTAGGGAGCCCTTGTTGAAGGATGTTATATTTGCTGTGAATAAAATTTTGATTTCTCAGAGAGAAGGGTGGGAGAAATATGAGGCCACACTGCGGCTGGGCATTTCTTGACTTTGAAAAGGAAGCATATGTTTTGGACTCCTTGTGCAGCTCGCTGTGTTAATCTTATGCTTATTAAAATGGGTACATCTTTATTTAGTGGGGTGATTTCAAGAGCTATGTTTGTTGTTGGATTTATTTACAATCACACCATAGTCCTAAGCATGATGAGGTCTTTTACAAAGAAAAGAGAATTAGTGAGACCGGGTATCACTAGATTTGCCACGTCATTTATCACTCTTCGAAGCCTAGACAAGCAAAAACGTGCCTTGAGGACCATGTTTGCTTCAAAGCAAATGGTCAAAAGCATAACGATGGGAGAAAGGCCGAAAAAATTGTTTTGAATGCATCTTTTTGGAGTCAAATAATTATTGCATTAGCGGTGGCTCGCCCTTTAATGAGAGTGCTTCGACTGGTTGATGGTGATGCGAAGCCTGCTTTGGGCTACATACATGAGGTAATGACTAGGACAATAACTGAAATAAAAGATGTTTTAAAGGATGATGAAAATATGCGCAAGGCTATACTTGAAATTATTGATAGAAGATAGGATACCCAGCTTCACAGGCACCTCCATTCAGCCGGTTATTTTCTAAACTCATCTCTTCACTACAAGCACCCATCCATTGAGTCAAATCGTGTAATAAATGGTGGGTTCTTAGATGTGCTGGAGAAGTTGGTGCCAGACAAAGATATCCAGAGCCATGAATTGATTAAGTTCAAGTTAGTCTTGGGAAACTTTGGGAGAGATATTGTCACTCGAAATGGGGGCACTATAGATCCAGGTAAAGGCCAAAAGCCCAAAAATAATCTTACTTGTCTCTTACTTTATGTTTAGTTCCATTGTTTATTTTATACCCTTAATTTTTAACTATATTCTAAATTATAAAATATTATACAGCTGCATAGTGGGCATTATATGGAAGCAAGACACCAAATCTACAATGTCTCACTATTCGAGTGTTGAATCTCACGTGTAGCTCATCTGGTTGCGAGCACAATTGGAGTGCATTTGAGCATGTAAGTCCTTTACTCCTTATTCCTTAATCCTTATTTCTTGAATTTCAATTTTCTAATCTAAGATCTAATTTATCTGATTTCAAATTTCTACCACAGCTCCATACAAAAAAAAGAAATAGGTTGGAACATAAAAAGTTAAATGATATGGTTTGTGCAGTATAACGAGTGGCTTAGGGAGATATGAAAATCGCATGAAGCTAAACCCTATTCAATTATATGAAGCTGATGGTGATTCTATATGTGAGTGGACCATGGATCTAAGACAATAACGTGTGTTTGAGCATGAGGATCTTACATGGCTTGATGTCGAGCTAGCAACAGGGGCTAATGAAGAAGATCAACCTAACACTAGAGCACAAAGGAGTAGAGGAGCTGCTGGGTCTAGTTGCACTCACACATTAGCTTCAGAGGTCGAGGAGGAAGCTGACTCAGAGGAGACCGATGAAGAAGAATACATGGAGGTTGTCGAGGATGATATTGATGATGCGCATGACGACTCTCAAGATGACTTGTCTGATTGATATTTGAAAAAATGAAGTTCATTGTATTAAGTTATTATTTATTAACTATTAACTCTTCTTGAGCTTGACTTTTGATTTTATTTTGTAATATCATTATTTTGTGCTTATGGTTGTTGATGGTTGTGCTTAATTATAATTGTGCTTATGGTGCAAATTTGTGTTGATGGTTGTTGATTGTTGAATGCTTTATGAAGCTGGTTTCAAGTTTCTAGTTTCTATCAGAGGATAGTGGATAACTGGATACAGAATCTCCGACAGCTAATAGTTTTGAAGTTAATCATTAAACTAAAATACCTACTATCACCTTCATTTTTTCTACGCATTAACTATTTTTTTAGATTTTTTAGAATTTTTTTACATTTATTGACCGCATCATCGCGATGTACCCGCATTCGGGCCGCATCGAGCTGCATCGCCGCATCGGCCCCCCACCGCATCAGGGCCGCATCCCTCATCTTAAAACACTGATATGAGAAGATATTTCGTCATGCAGATGCCTACCCAAAGGATACACAAAGTTCACAGTAAACATAAGAGCATGATACAACATAAAGAAACTAATGCTTAAAGAATGCTTACCTTCACCCATAGTGTTGAGCAGTCAAAATTTGTAAGGAGCCATTTATGGGGATTCATATTGAATGAATCTGCTTCCTCAACACCATCAATGTAATGCCGATATTCCGGACATATGCAAGCACTACCAGCATATGCAGCATCTATGTGAAACCACATGTCATTGGCCTGTTAAGAGGTCATCAACCAACCAGAATTACTATAATAAAGAATGAGAACCATACAGAATAAAATCACTGCATTAGGATGGCAGGTGGTCTATAGTGAAGAAAATGAGAGCCACGATGCGTAAGAGAAACAAATAGGAGATATATATGTCATAATCCAATGTACTATTATGAAGCCACGGTCAATTGGCTCATCACAGTCTGTTGAAATGATGGACAGTCAGAGAAAGAATGGGACCCACCAGTGTCGTCACATCTTATTCTAGTGGTGGGTCCATTATTTATATAGCTAGTGCTGAGAATACAGTTTTTACAAAGTCTGGTTAAGAATGAATGAGTATATTTAAATATATGAAGTAATAAAATCATAAAATAAAAGAAAAATAGACAATAAAAAAAGGATGATTTCAAAGCAGAATGGAAATTCAATAGAACTAAGAAAGAAAGAAAATTTAATGGGAAAGAACCCACTCCAATCCAAAAACCACTTAAATCAACCTACATACTAGTAATTACACCTACTCCTTGAGTCCAAATAGCATTTAGGTCATGAAAATTGAAGGTATCATATATACTATGCATCTGTCTCCAGCAAGGTATAATCCTTAGGTTACTCTTAATTTTTGTTACCTTAGCGAGCCTTCCCAGTGCAGCCAAGGGATCCACTGCTGTAGAAGAGGTAGTACCAACCTGATAGGAACAACAATACCCAAAAATTAATAGCAAGTAGCAATGAGATTATTGATATTATGGAAGCTCTCTTCAAACATGAAACAGCATAAAAGTACTGGGCAGAAAAAACTTGCCACAATTGACTCATACACTTAAGTAACCTTGTTACTTGTGAGTCAAGAAAGGAGAGGAGAAGTTTTCACTACAAAGACAATGGAGTCCTTTGAGTTGACACTTTCGAGGGCACTTCTTGAGTGACTAAAGGAGGGAAATCCACGGGGCTTCGAGGAAAGTCAGGCTTGGGTTTTCATACCAAGAGGTACATACAAATGGCTTTTTATGAGCACACAAAAAATATAAATTACCACTTTGTAGAGAGCATGTTTATAAGAAGAAAACAAGCGCCCCATTTTCAAGCCAAAAGATCAATTAGCTGACGTGCTCACCACCTTTCTGAGGAATTGGGAAAAGAAAATTTCAGCTATTCATAGTTCATATCCAAGCTAGGAAGAAATGTAATCATCCTCTAGTATGAAGGAAACCAGTTTATTTGATGTTAACCAATTTCGACATACAAAGCTTCATGTTTTCTCCCTTAGCCCTTTTGGAATGAATACTCAGCTACTTGCAAACCATCAGGTATTTTCTTATTTAATGTTTCTTCAATTACTCTGTTGCCTGCAAATGCTACGTAGGCCTTGGGTTTGGCAATAATGATATCTCCTAACATACCGAAACTCGCAGTCACTCCACCGGTTGTAACCATGACAAAAGTTTAAGGACTTATTGTTGGAATATTATGTATAAGACTTTTATACTGGCATATCCAAGTAGTTGAATTCCCTTCTTATTTCAATATGCATATATTTAATTACTGGAGCCCTAAATCAGTGCATGAAAAGTTACTCTTTCAATCCGTCCCTCTCAAACATTAGCGTTATCAAATAAGCAAATATGGAGATCATGAAAGCATAATTTAAATAATGACAATAGAAACATATGAGAAGTCCTTACATGAAAAACAATTAAAAGATTAAGAAAAAAAAGGTACACATAATAGAGATGATCCCTTTCTTACCGTTGCACAAAGAAAAATAGGAAGCAAGCCAGCTGCAATGTCATTACTGATGGACTCAGAGGCAACCTCAGGAGAAAGGGCATAATTTGTCATGAAAGTTGCTTGCAATAGCCTACAATTCATTGGATTGATTCCTGCTATCTGGATGCACATAAAAGAATGCGTACCTCTGTCATTCAGGCTCCAAAATTCAGATATCCAGAAAAGGAAATTTATAAACAAAGTAAATCCCAACTTTCGAAACAATATAGCAGGGAAATGATTTCTCTAGGAATTCAATACCAAAGTGAAACTCTTAAAAGAATAGAAATTTGTGCTGAGAATTAATTGTAGAAGAAAACACAAGAACAGAAGAAAGGTAGCCATTAAGAAGTCTCCAAGGAATAAACTGCATAGTTACATGTCAACTTACAAAGATGGCATGAGACAAGTCCAAATGCAACTAGCTACAATAAAAGCATTGTTGAAAAATAGCAGTGCCTCTTAATAGGGTCTTTCCTTTACACAAGCATATATTTGTATCAATAAGCTGCCAGAATAGTATTTTAAGCTTCAAAATGATGATATAGAATCATGAATATAACATCGTTCTAGAATAAAGGAACTTTCCTTCCCACAATCGCACTGAGATTTGAAAATATTTAATAAACTTAATAAACTTGATAAAAGAGAAGAGTGTTCCCAAGCAATTCATAAACCACAATATAAGAAAGTAATAGAACCATATCACCTTACAAGCCTTTATTAAAGCAGAATGTGTTTGATCTGATCCATAAACCACAAGGTTCTCCAATAAATTTTGGCCAACTCTCCTTAACGCCTTGTCTCGTGCAGCCAATAATGCAACTAACATGGCTTCACTTGCTGTCCCCTGGATCACACCACCACCTTTCCCTACATTATTTCATACATGCTTTCATTAAGTATCTGAGAAGTGGAGAGCACCTGATATGCTGTTCTGCTTTTGAGGTCATTTATGATGTAACAAAATGGATTTGCTACAAGAACAACAAAGAAGTATAACAATATTACTTTACTACTAATACAGCTCTTGGCAAAAGCCAATGAAATTAGTTACTAATGGATACAACAGATAACAGATGTCCCGTAAAGAATCAAACAAACAAATAATGTACCTGGCTAGCTGCTCCTCGTCAAGCTAAAAGGATTATTTTCATAAATTTTGCAAAGTGAAAATGAAGTTGGCAAAATATAAGGAAAATAAATGTCTAAAAGGAACAAAAGATTGCAGAGTCATAGGATACCTGAGCTTGTCCAAAGATGATTAAAACATTGCATTATCAAATAAAGAAGACTATTATATTGGCACCTGTTGAAAGAAACTGTTCAGGTAGCTTCAAGACTTTTGCAAGCCAATCCAAGACTATCACTTCCAATTCAGTTGCAGCAGGGGAAGTCACCCAACTAAACCCCACAATGTTAAAACCAGCACTAAGCATTTCCCCAAGAAAACCAGCTGTGCTGCTATTCGATGGATAATAAGCAAAATACTTTGGGCTTTGCCAATGAGTGACACCAGGAATAATCTTGTGTCGAATATCTGGACATTGGAATCAATAGAGACATTAAAGCTGCCCCGATATATTTTATGAAAAAATAAAAAAAATAAAAGTTACTGCAACACATATATACATGCATATATACAGACATAAATGCAAACATAAATTCGATACATACATATGCGCACGAGCACACATGCACACACGCACACGCACATGCACATGCAAAGGCGCAAACACACACGCACATGCGCACACGCACACACACGGTAACATTCATGCACACGAACGCACACACACAGACAGGAATATGACGTTTTTGTGTTTTAATGGGTAGTATGAGAAAATATAGATTAATACAGAAATATTAAAACTATTAACTAACAACATCATGAGAATCATGCCCTTTGTTTATAACGAAACAAATCACGTTTAATCACAAATTGTCTTTGTCTTGATAAATCCCCCAATTGAGCTGGAGATTTGTGTCTGTGATGCTGTAGAACATCGTTGAACATCATAATTGGCTTGGTGCTGATCATCCATCAGCAAGCATATCAACAATTTGAAATTCCAAAGGGTTTGCTTCACTAATGTTAATGCTCATTGATAACAAGCTTCTAGGTATGTGCATGTGTGCGAGCAGATAAGGATTAGCGCTACCTATATATACCATATAATCTTTATGCTTTTTTATATGCATGTGTTTGAAGATATTAACTTATATGCATACATAGTGCATAGTGCATAGTAAGTTGTGCACATCTGCTTTCTGTGTGCATACATATATACATATCCCTATGTTTAGTGTGTGTGGGTTTGTATGAGTCAATAAATACCCATACATGTGCATAATCCTAGATGATAGAGCAAGCCTCTGATATGAAAGGAATAATCAGTAAACAGCATAAACAATACAACAAAAGAACAGTAGGCATCATGCTTCACTATTAAAAGAGAGAAACTTCACCTTCAAGAATGCTTTCAAACGATTCAGGCATATCGGGGGCTGAATCTGGTATAAGGTTTCGTAAGTAACCAGGCTACAACCAAATGAGTTCGCATGCCAATCAAAAAGTCATATACATCAAAATTCAGTATCTCAAAAGCTATAAGCTTCAAAATTCAATGATTTAAATTTTCTCTAATCTTCACAAGAGATTTAAATTTCAAATAAGCAGCCATGTAAAATGAGCAAAAGAACTTAATTCAAGAAACCAATCAATTCATTAGAAAGACTGTAATAATAAAAACAGAGAACAGTTACAAATAAAGGCAAACATATAGAGAACAAGGAACATAAGAAAAAAAGTAATAACCAACAGATAAGTAAATGGAATCAAAATGGATACTTTTTAAAGGTGCTCAGTAAATGAATTTGTAATACAAATGAAATCAAATTGGGTAATTTGCAGAAAAAATTACAAATACGAACAAAAAGGCTAGACAGAGAGAAACCCACACTTCTTTACGAAGAAATAGGTAAGTGTGGAGAGAGAAAGAACCCATGAAAAAGAAATAAGAAAACAGGGATTCAATGAAATTGGAATAGCCATAATTGTGAGGACCTGAACTTGGCTCCGCACAGGGTAACTCTCAATCTCTTTGTAATAATCAGAAATGAAATCCACCATCCTGTGACCGTGCTCCCTGAGTTCTTCAGCATCCATTGCCCTCATACCGACTTTTTGGACTCCATTTCCACACTCTTTCCCCTCCCTACAAAATACCCACCACATTTTGAATGTTTAAAGCCATGGATGTAGAGAGAGAAGACGAAGGATTGAACTTATTACACGTTGTGCTGGAATGAGAATGTTCAAAATCATGGTGGAGTCTAGAGTGAGAAGACAGAGAATGAACGTACATTGAGTTGCAGAGGAGATGGAGAATGGAGATTGATTCAGCTTCCTGCACGCGATGAGCCCCAGTGTCTTTACCGTTTAGTTTAAATCTTCTCTAATCACTATGCATGGCCAGACACACATGTATGGATGTGGTTGTTTGTATAAGGCTGAGGCCCTAAACCATCTAAGTAAGGCGTACCTATAAATAGAGTAAAGAAATATTGGTTCAGGATTGAAAATCTTCATGAGGTCGGATAATTTATTTTTTCACCTCTAATCATAAAATTTAAAGCTCGAGTTATCTTAAACGCTTGAAAATCTTAAAAAAAAAAAAATGACAGTATAAATAATGTATTACAAAATCCACTGCCTCAATAATTAGAAGCCCAATTTCTTTGTACATATATCTCAAAGTAGAGATGATTGAATAAGGGGGTATTTCGATAAGTTTGATAGTTTAGAGCCTCAACCTTATATAAACTTTTTCCTATATGTATTACCTAGAGCCGATATATCATACTCCAAGAGTATAGACTGTACACTCAGGCAATAACAAACTTAGGATTATTTTGCCGATCTAAATTTTGGGATTCATTGACATCGCTGCATTATTATTCCGGAGATGGAAAAACTTTATAAAAGGCATCAAATTTTACCATAAAAGTAACTTGCACATTAAAACCTAGTGAAAAGGCCACTAACAAATTAGAAAATCTTCTTGCTAATCATTAGAGCTTTTAATTAAGTCGGATATACGAATATTGGTTTGGCATTCTACTTTATCAAAAATATACCTTTAGTGAAGTTATATTTGGACATTAAAACAATCTCTTCTAATGAATTTTAAAGGTGGGTTTTAATTTGATTGTTTAGAGCCTCAGCTCTATATAGACTTTTTCTTATGCGAATACCTTTTCGATTTGGGCAAGGTTTGTATAAAGTGTCGACCTCATTCTATTGAGGTAAGATGCACATCAAAACTGTACGGACCTTTTACTAGGGAAGTAAGGCGCATATGAACATTATTTCGAAAGATGTAGACTCAATGCCAAAAAAGCTTTTTCGGGTATGAAAATCTGTTGTCACTTCTAATTATGAAATTTAAAGTTAAAAAAATTTATTTTTTATATCCATACATTTAGAGGATGAGATGATCAATTTGAGGGTTTTTTTAGCATTAAAACAAACCTTTTCCGGGTTTTTGATGTACGCCTTACTTGAATTGCATAATAAGGTGGACACCACGTACAATTTTTTTTCAATTTTATAAACATGCATTTTACCATTTTACTGCTAGAGGCATCGCTCTCATTGTTTTTTTTTTTAATAGTACTGATTATTTTATGTTTTTTTGTTTTTTTATTTTATTGTTTTGAACTTATAATATCCAACTGATTGCTTTCTTTAGAATGTTGCAACGAACCTGATATGTCCATTCAAAACCTTAAAGAAAAGGAAAAGGCTTTACTTTCAATAGTAAACTAAACTGATCAACATAAATTATATCCTTTTTCTGGACTGAAAATAGATAGATACCAATTATCATCATCTCTCACACCCACGGAAAATGCCATCCCCTTAAAGATAAGAACACTCCATTAATTTCTGGAAGAAGTTTATATAGAGCTGAGGCTCTAAACAATCAAATTAGAGCCCACCTCAAAAATTTGACTAAAAAAAATTTGTTTTGATACCCAAATATCCTCAAATAGATCATCTCGACATCAAGATGCATAGACATTAGTAAAAAAAAGCATTTCAAATTTTGAAAATAGTACATCTTGTAACGTATTTTTGGACCGTCAATTTTCAAGATTTCCAAGTTTTCATAGATTTGCTCGATCTACACTATTTTTTAAGCTTTAAATTTTATAATTAAAGATGAAAACATATTTTAAGGGTATCACAAAGTTTCCAATATTGAAACCACATTTCTAGATACTATTTGAAGGTGGGCTCTAATTCGATTGTTACAAATTGCACCATTAATTTATTTTATCTTTCCTCTTCTTCTTTCTTTTTCCTTTTTTTTATTATTTTACTTTTTTATAAAAAATACAAAAGTTAACAAGAACAACAAATTTTTTGGACTAATATGAGCGTCGCTTTGCCATTGCGCAACCATATAAAAAAAAAACGAAAGTTTCAACCAATGGTTTAAAAACCGGATCGGTGACCCGGATCGGGCTTTTCAAAAACCGATCCGGATCGACGAATCGAAGATCAGGATCGGCAAATCGACGATCCGGATTGGAATCGGGTGAATTGGTCAGAATAAAGCTTCAAAAAAATCCGAAAAAATTATTAAAATTCATTATAAATATTGATTTTTAGGAATTCAATAAAAAATGAGGGTACTCCATTAAGAATTTTCATGTTTTTGAATGAATATGCGAATATTGATATGTTCTTTCCCTGCATGAACCGCCATTCAGCATTTAATTTACAATATTTCGTGCTCATCCCTACAC